ACTGTGCCTCATCTTATTACCTCACATAGTAAAATTGTTTTCTCTAAACTCTTTATATGCACCATGACAAAATGCAGCTACAACAGCTAGAACAGATGAGAGAACATAAGGGCTATAGTGAAGCTTCATAGAAAACACACATTGAAGCATCAAAACTTGTGGAATGCCATGCATGCATACACACAGTTTTGCTAAGGGGTGTAAGCTTTCTCTCTTGTGTTTATAAAGACTGAGTGGAGTCTAGTTCTACCTAGATACACCTAACGACATCATCTCACCACAGCTACTAGAACCTATTAAAGATTTCTACTGAAGATTAAGGCTGACAGAACCTGCTGGGACTGGTATTTCCGGATGACTTGTACAAACCAGGATCACTCTTTTCTAAGAAGATTGAGATGAGTCAGAACTGTCTCTGTTTTACTGGATCACCCAACAGCTTTGTCTGAGAAGAATGAGAGCCCATCTGTATTAGGCTAGCTGTGAGCTTCATTCATACAATTTCACTTAAGTAGAAAAACTAGCCAGCTCTACACCACCCAGCCACTGAAGAGAGCTCCCATATGAAGCTGAGGTTACAGAATTGAGCATTTAGTGATTAACTATATTTAATAGGCACTTACAGCTTCCATTAAAAGAATAGTGATCTTGGACACTCAAAACAAGCAGCAGTGTCAAGGATCATGCTGCCAACATTTGCAGAACATCCAACATAAGAGATTATAGCAAGAGTTCTTGAGATAGTTGTGTAAATTATTGCATATTAATTGTGTATTACATTAAAGATCCTTAAATAACTTGGAAAACTTTTTTTTTTTTTTTTTTTTGCTTGCAACCAGCTAAATAGTTGAGCTCTGCATCTGACTTTCTGACTTACAGCTTGGAGTATTGTACATAAACACACTACTATTTTTTTTTTTTTTTTCCTTTGCTACATATTTTGTAGCAAAGCAAAACTAGAGTATATATAAATGTTAAGTTCCATAAATAGGTTCTGTAACAGAACTGTAACCAGTAAAATAAATGAAACACAACTGATTATAAAGTTTTAAATCAATACCAGAATTCACAGGTTTTTTTTTGTTTTTTTGTTTTTTGTTTTTTTTTTTTAAAGTAAGAGAGAGGGAAACAAGTAATCTAAGTAGTTTAGAGGATTTGTTACTGTCCATGTAAGGCCTTTCCAAGTGGAAAGTAAAATGCCTTTGGTTGTAGTGTTTTGTTATTTCCAGATGTCTAATGCGCTGTACTGCCACGTCAGTAGTATTCAGGCCATGGAAACTGTGTTGTCGTTTGTTTGTATTTCTGTAGCATCAAGAACTGGGTCAAATCGTTTGAGTTCACCAAATTCAGATTTACAAATTGGAGACACTCTTGGAAAAAAGAAAACAAAAGAAATGTCATTTCATAACATCAGAGATTAATCATCCTTTAAAAACAGTTTTTCATAGTCTGGAGTTTCATTCCTGCAGTAGTTACTAAATGTAGTTTAACTAAGCTCCTTTTCATTTGGAACACTCTATTTCCTGCACCACACACATTCATTTTTATTTAGCTGAAACAAGTCTGTTTGGTCGGTAATGGCTTATTACCAGTCCTAAATAAAAGTTAATGAAAATCTAATGAATGAGTTGGGAACCATGAGCTGTAAATCACAGAATCACAGAATTACAGAATGGCCAGGGTTGGAAGGGACTTCAAGGATCATGAATCTCCAACCCCCTGCCACACGCACAGGGCCACCAACCTCCCCATTTAATACTTGACCAGGCTGCCCAGGGCCCCATCCAATCTGGCCTTGAACACCTCCAGGGATGGGGCATCCACAACCTCTCTGGGCAGCCTGTTCCAGCACCTCACCACACCCTCTGAAAAGAATTTCCCACTGACATCCAACCTAAATCTTCCCTCCCTCAACTTAAAACCACTTCCCCTTGTCCTGCAGTTATCAACCCTTTCAAAGAGTTGATTCCCCTCCTGTTTGTAGGCTCCCTTTAGGTACTGAAAGGCTGCAGTGAGGTCACCCCGCAGCCTTCTTTTCTCCAGGTTGAACAAGCCCAGCTCCTTCAGCCTGTCCTCATAGGGGAGGTGCTCCAGTCCCCTGATCATTTTTGTGGCCCTCCTCTGGACCCTCTCCAACTGCTCCCTGTCTTTTTTGTACTGGGGGCTCCAGACCTGGACACAGTACTCCAGATGGGGCTTCACAAGAGCAGAGTAGAGGGGGACAATCACCGCCCTGTCCCTGCTGGCCACCCCTCTTCTGATGGAGCCCAGAATACCATTTGTTTCTGAGTTGCAAGGGCACACTGCTGGCTCATGTTAAGTTTTTCGTCCATCAAGACCCCAGGTCCTTCTCCACAGGGCTGCTCTCAAGGACCGCTCCTTCCAGTCTGTATGGTTGCCTGGGATTCCTCCGGCCCAAGTGCAAAACTCTGCACTTTGCTGTGTTGAACCTCATCAGGTTCACCCGGGCCCATCTTTCCAGCCTGTCGAGGTCCCTCTGAATGGCATCCCTTCTACTGTGTCATCCGCACCACTCAGCTTGGTGTCATCAGCAAACTTGCTGAGGATGCACTAAATACTAAACAAAACCCTCTGGGATCAATCAAATGTCCTTTTAAATTCTTCATGTCTAACTAAAGCAATTATTTGTTTTCACTGTTTTATTCTGAGAGAGGAAACTGAATGAACTTTTGAAGACAGTAACCACCTATCACGTGGAACACGGTCTTCTCTCATTGTTGCAATTCAGATTTCCCCCTCATTTCTGGCACTCTGCTTTCCTAAGTACATAATTCTAAATGGGCTACATCAATACCAATACACCACACGCATGGAATGATGATCTTTGAGATTTCAATGTTCAAACACTTTTCACAGAAATATTATTCAGATTCTCTCAGTTGTCAGACTCCACAAAAGGAAATAAAATAATTATGTGCTATTAATTATTATCTAATTAATTGTTGAAGACGTCAGAGTCTCCAACTCTGTTGAAGTGTGATCGTGACTAATAGATACTACAGTAAGTGCAAGAAGAGAAATTCACAGGCATACTGTTGTGTATGGTTTCTAACCTGACAAAGGACTAAAGCATTGTCCAACTTTTGCCGAAGAGAACTATACTGAAAAATCTTATCTGAATGATTTAAAAGAATTAAAATGTAAGCAGTATTTGCAGTTTGGACTTAATCCTCTTTACAGATTATACTGCAGATCCAACTCTTACAGCTAAGACACTAGTCAAACCTGGAGCAAAATTAATTAATTGTACCAGTTTTAATAGAGATAGTTAATTTTATTCGAAGTAGCTTGTATGGTCCTACGTTTTAGGTTTGCGACCAAAACAGTTGATAACACACAAATGTTTCACTTAATGCTGAAAAGTTTTTGCCTTATTTATCGAACTCTCTGTCTCATTCACCTCCTTGGGTCCAGAGGAGGACCATGGGGATGAACAGTAGGCTGGAGCACCTTTCTTATGAAGAAAGGTTGACAGAGTTGGGCTTGTTTAGCTCAGAGAAGGCTTTAGGGAGACCTCATTGCTTTCTTTCAGTATTTGAGGGAGCTTAGAAACAGAATCATAGAATCATAGAATCATAGAATCATAGAATCATAGAATCACAAGGTTGGAAATGACCTATAAGATCATCTAGTCTAACCGTCTTCACACTACCACTGCTACCACAAGCTACTAAACCATATCTCGCAGCTCCTCATCCAGACGCCTCTTGAACACTGCCAGGGACGGCGACTCCACCACCTCCCTTGGCAGGCCATTCCAGTGCCTGACCACTCTCTGAGAGAAAAAGTTTTTCCTCATGTCTAATCTAAACCTCTTCTGGTACAACTTGTGGCCATTTCCCTGGGTCCTGTTTGTTGCCTGGGAGAAGAGGCCAAACCCCTCTTCACCACAACCTCCCTTCAGGAAGTTGTAGAGTGCGATGAGGTCTCCCCTGAGCCTCCTCTTCTCCAGACTAAACAATCCCAGCTCCCTCAGCCGCTCCTCATAAGGCCTGTGCTCCAGACCCCTCACCAGTTTTTTACATAGTCTTAGGACAGGGGGGAATGGCTTTAAACTAAAAGAGGAGAAATTAGGTTTGTTGATAGGCAGAAATTCTTTACTCAGAGGGCAATGACACACTGGAACAGGCTGCCCAGAGAAGCTGTGGGTGCCCCATCCCTGGAGGTACTCAGGGACAGGTTGGATGGGGCCCTGAGCAACTTGAGCTGGTGCATAGCAACCAGCCCATGGCAGGGTGTTGGGATTAGGTGGTCTTTAAGATCCCTTTCAACTTTTATTCTATGATTCTATAATTCTCTTCCCCATCCCACTGAGGGAGTGTGGCAGCTCTGTGGGGCACAGATGCCTATCAGGGTTAATTTAAAATATCTGCAAAGGCAAGGAACTCTAAGCCACAGTGAACACAGAGTCTATTTGTGATGTTGCTAGTACAGCAATATTTAATGGTTAAGTTAGTTAAGCTAGTCTTAAACTCATCTCCTTTAACATTGTAAGAGAACATAAACCCTATCAGAAGCTTCATTTCATCCTAATTTATGTCTTTGGAAACTTCTAAAATGTGGCAGTTCAAATTTAAGTGTGGTCCATTAAAACAAATATGAAGTCGGGCAAAAACACCATGAAGCCTTCAAGGATGAACAAATAGCTTCTGACCAAACTGTAATGCAAAAGAAAGTATAGGGAGAGTGGAAGCAAGGATGGATAGCCTGGTAAGCATACTGAAGCATTGTTCAAGCATCCAAGAATGAAGTTAGGAAAGCTAAAGCCGAAATGGAATGGAATCTGATCATTGATGTCAAGAACAAGAAGAAAGACTTCTTCAAGTATACTCACTGTCCTAATGCTTATACAATGTGTGAGGCAGAAATAATGAATAACACAAGAGTTTTCAACTGATTCAATACCATATATTGCTACAGACCTGATCTGCTGAAATAGAAGGAAGTATGACAAATTCCATGCCCAGTTGCTACAGAATAGATGGTAGTTTCCACAAACACTGCTGTACTGACAAAATTCACGTGTTTTTTATATTACTCCATTTTTATTGACAGTAATTTAAACATTTAACATTGCGTATTTAAAATGCAATTATACAACTCCAATCTTTTGTTCATTATTACAAGAACATTCATAAGGTGAATAGCGGTAAGAATGAAAAAGATAATTTCATGCCCATACATCCAAAAATAAAAACTCCAAAGATATGAGATATCATTCATTCTCTTTGAAGAAAAAGTATTCATTTTTAGTGAATTGTGGAAATGACAAATCTTAACCTGAACATTAAATGCATGGACTATGAAAATTAAATAGAAAATAGACCATAGCTCTTGCATATTGCAATGTACCTTATTTTTCTAAGAATCAATCCCTGAGAGTATACAATACTCAGGGTCTGGACAGTATTCTCAGGGCATCATTTTTTATACAAGAAGGTATTACAAGTTTTACAGGTAAGGACCTTACACATGTGCTAACATAAGTTAATATTATCTTGCCTGATACAGTATAAAAAGCTGGTTCTGGAAAATTAAATGAAGAAAAGGTATTTTTTATGAAATGTAATTACTAGAATGACTGATCTATTACTTTTTTAAAAGAAAATTTCCTGCAGTTTCTTGGCAATTTAGATATGCAGAGAACATAGAAGAAATACATTCAAAAGTCAGCATTTCTCTTTTTATAACTTTTCCACTGGACCTGCCAATGTGCTTATATATGAGGCAGCTAAATAAAAGCCTGTAAACACTGAGCTTCATTGTTTTTCTGGAAATCCTTTCCTTAGGACCTTCTTTCTCAAGAGGAACCACTACAGATGCTGATATTTCATAATAAAAATGAGTAACTGTATTATGGAAAAATTTAATAAAGTTTTAAGACTGAACTGTTTAAATGAAAATTAAAATGAAAGATGTTAATGTTGCATTGATACATTATCCCACATAACAGCAAGAATAGAAACATTTCTATTTTCATAGGTTAATGGAAATATGGATCATAGTTCCTCCGAATCTTCATTGAGACTGATTTAATTTTTACTGGCTTATTGTTCACTGTCCATGTATCCCAGTGAATCCCAGTAGCAAGAAATCTACCTGTGTAACGATGAATACCATTAAGATTTGCAAGGCCACACTGGTTGAACCACCATCCAGTGTTATCACTGAAGTTACTGCAGCTCTTTACAGGCTGTTCTTTAATAATGCATATTGGCCTACATCCATCATTGTCGACATCAAATGTGCTGAAAGGCATCGAATTCTGATTATCTTCTTTTCTGTATCCTCTGAATGCATCACCTAATTACAGGAGATGAAATAGAATGATGATAAAGGAGTTACTTATGAGAAAAAGAATATTTTTTGCTTACTTCATACTTCACGAACATTTCATCTGAAATTATTACAAAAATGGATTTCTTCAAAAGCAGTTCAAGGCAGTACTGCATTGGTATATATTGAAGACATAGGGGAAAAAAAGTATAAAATATTGAGAAGTATGGAAGAAATGATGGAACATCTTTATCTTCTTATTGCTTCACTGCTTTTAGTGTTGCTAACTGTAAAGGTAAAGACTTCTGTCCTCAAAAACACTTACCCCAAATATTACTCTCTTGAATACACTAAAAGAAAAGAGAGTTGGTATCTTTAAACATATTAAGAAAGAAAGTTCTTACCTGCGTTTCCTGAATAACGTCCCAAATGAATTTTAAAAGAACATGCTTCATCCTCTATCCAAAATGCATCATATGATGCATAGGCATGCTTGTCATTTTCTGATTCCAAATCCACATAAAGACTGAAAGTGGTTGCTTTTTGGTTTACTATATAAAAAATCTTCCTTAATCCAATCCAAAATTCCCCTAAAGCAAAAATACAGTGTACATTCAATAAACATCTAGAAACAAAAAGTATAATGCTTTCTAGTTTTCCTACTTTCCTTCCTGACCTAAGTGTAATAAAAATATCTGATTAGCATATATTCCTTTGAAAGACCAACAGAGGTGCAGAGTTGTCTCCTTACTTCACTGGGAAAATCCATGAAAAGAACTCACATGTGTGCACCATCTTTTTTCTTGATGACATTTTCAGAAAATTTTATAACTTTCAAGTGTTTGACTTTAACACATTTTGTAAGGCCACAAACACTACATGTGCTGAATATCCACTTAACCTAGCCAGAATTCAGTGGTGCTCCAAAAGACTATACTGGGAAATGACAAAGGTCAGTATTATGTGAAATGCAACAAAATACAACAAAAAATCAAATCTAATTGTAAAGATTAGCTTCCTCACATGTTTTTCCATGAAACGTTGCCCCATATGACCTGCGGTTGTTTGTAAATTTGAAAAGTTTGATTTTATTTCTATTCCAAATGGACAAGTGAAAAAGTAACTGCTGCTTTTAGACTTGATGGATTACAGTTGACAATAAAAAAAATAATGCCACTGTTGTATTGGTGTTAGCTACTAAAATATTTTCATTATCTTTCTAATCACTCCCAGTTCTGAAATATTACTGACTGTTCTTTGCTTCAGGAAAATATTTTGCAAGTCTTTTTAAATCTCAACAAACATACAAACAAATAATAACAATAACAACAACAACAAAAATAGCCACAGAGAAATACAACTTATACATAATTTTCCGGAATAAAATATTGCATCATATTAAACTCTTCTTGTGAGACTAAGGACAGGCAATGGTGAAGGATTCCAGTAGGGTAATGGTCACTGTTGAGAAGGTTAGACAATAGTTTTGGGGAAGCAACAAAGTATCTGAGTATTAAACAAAATACTTTTTAAGAAACAAGAACTTTACTCTGCATGCTACTAAAAGTGCAATACAATTTAGTGGGAATGTAGCTCCCAAAAATACAGCAGGAACATGGGGTCCAAAGCACTTAAGAGTATTTAAAACTCATACCAGAAAGATCACCAAATCCATCCAGATATTCAGACCATGTTCTCTGAAATGTAATGATTCCATCAGTTCTTTTCTGAAGCACAGTCCATCCACCTCCTTGAAAATCCATGTCACATAATACCTAAAACACACATAGTCACGATTAAGCACTCGATACTGTAATGAAGAAAATAACTTTTTAAATGAAATAAAAGTGGACTATTTATGTACTTGCCAAACAATGTGCCCTTCCAACATTTTAACGAAAAGCTCAGAGAAAATTAAGCAAACAAACTGCAGTATTTTCTTTTATGTTCTAAGGAGACTTTGATTTGGAGACTACCTCAACCCGTGTAAGCTGTCATGCGCAAATGCCTCTTCATATTAAATATAAAAAATGTCCTTTGCTAAATTTTACTTTGTATTAATAATAGCATGAAGTGAAAGCAACATGGGATAGCAAGGGGATAGTTTCTGCAAGAAAAACAGATGGTGGCACTAATAGCAAATATACATTTATTTCAGAAAATCAAAGAGTCAAAACTTCGTCTGTGTTCTCTTCTACCATCATACCCTCTCCCCCAGAAGTACTGTTTGTGATGCCTGAGAAATGCAGAGCATTTAATAAAGGTGAGGGAATGAATGAAGTGATAGTGATAACACAGCATACAATAACTTATTCTGGAGCAGTGGAAAACTTCACATAAAAGGTGGCCTCAATCCAGGGAAGTCTCAATATGAACACTTAGCAGCCTGAAACTGAACAGTCCCACTGAATACACAAGATCTGCTCTCAGATTCTTTGCTTTATGAGAGTATTAATACCACGAAAATTTGTGTCCAGTGGTATGTCAAAAGACAACAGTTCAGCTGCACTCTGTTCTCCTATAGAGTATCACATTGCATGGCACATTTTCTCCTCAGCCCATTTAACATTAGACACATGACTGACCACCCTAAGTTTTGGGTATCAAATTGTCCCTGTCTGCCTTCTACACCCCCCTCATAGAGAAAAATGTGCACTCAGAGTGTGGCTCTGGAAAAGTAAGATCTACATCACCCTCTGCAGATGTTACCTGCACTGTCTGCAAAAAAGGGACCCTCAGACCCTTGGCTGCATTCTTGGGATATCAGGTAAGGGTCTAAAATTAAATGGAATGCATCCAGGTCACTCTGGGTATTTTTCAAGTGTGTCTGCAGTGCCACTGCTTGACCAGCTGTAACACAAATTAGCAATTCTTGGCATCTTGATGTAGAAAGTTGTTCATTGCACATTTAGACATTACAACCAACCAAGCAGCAGTCTGACTTTTATATGTCGCTCCTCCATTGTCTAGTACAACCCTGATATTTCTGACAAAATAAAAGATTTTTTCCTTGGAGGAATACCTTGACCTCATACTAAGAACTTCTGTCACATAACATCTTCTCTGTGAAGCACAGGAAGCAGCAGTACAGAGCTTCAGCATGATCTAATTAATACAGCTTGGCAGCTTGGGCAATTTTTGATTCTCATTACTTGAGGGTGCCACTGGAAGCCTTGATCAATTCTTACAACCCAAACACTGAAGAAATCACAGTAAGGGTTATGTGCATGCAAGTGCACTTGGAAAACGATGGGCTTTTCCCCCTGGAGTGTCACATGTTTTTTTCAGTCAACCAAGGAGAGTGAAACTGGAATAAAAAGAAATACCTGTGACTCCAAAATGGGTGTTTAGATATAAATATCTAAAATGCATTAAAATAATCCTATTGACTCAGTCACCGTCTTGAAATGATGGCATACTTTGCTACTGACTATGAGCCAGAAATACAAAGAGGAATGCAGTCAGTCACAACATCAAGCTCTGAGCTAACACAAATCAGTAGGAGTGGTGGTGATTTTCAGAAGAATAAGATTTGGATCCACAAGAGAGGTCATCAGCATGTTACTTACATATGGCACCAAACGTACACCAGCTAAGTAGGAATATGAAATAGGTACACAAAAAACAGTCACTGCTATATTTCTTAATTTTTATATGGTGTAAATGATGTAATGGTTTCCTTTCTTAAAGCCTTGCAATCCACTTTACAACTTGCTCTATGTCTCCTACTGTGCAAGATACCAGGGGCATGACAGTGTTAAATTAAATGAGCATGAGGGGGCTTCTACTGAGTATTTTTCCCTTTTCATCAGTGTGTATAGCAAGTATAATCCAAACAGCCATTCAGTTTCTCCAACTCATTGATCTAAACGTACTCATCCAAAAATGTATCAGAAAGTGAGCACAGATCAGTTTTCTGGATGTGAAACTGGTTTTAATTGCCTCATGTTTGAATGCTCACACAAAAACCCATTTGGGACTAATTTTCTGAGACGACAAGAACCTGCAGCCCATGCTGAAACCGGATATGCTCTGAGCTCCTGAAATCTTGTCTTGAATCAGTTCAAGTTAAGCATCCAAAATCTACACTCACTTCTGAAAATATGAAGGTTCAAACACGAAGACATGAGAACACGAGAAATTTTTAAAATAGCTTTCTTCATTTATCTGATATCTTTATGCAAATCATTCTAGAGACACTCTGTTATAGTTTCAGATACATTTAAGGGGCAGCTAATCCTTTCGTTGCTGAAAAGGTCCTATAAATGAGTTATTCATGTGGCTTTGTTTTCTGTTTAATATTCTCTTACTATGATTTTCTGCCTTTTTGTAATTTTGTTTTATTTTGCCAGTATTCAAACTTTTCCAAACTCTTGGCTATCAGTCTTTTGAATGCATTTCAGTTTATTTTAATGTCTCAATTTATTTTTGCTCATCCATCATTTCTGTGGTACTTTTTTTGCACTTCAACACATGGAAAAATTTGCATTAAACAGTTTTCTTTAAAATAACATTTTGGAGGGAGCACACATCCTTTAGATATTTTTCTCTGAGAACTTTTTGGCACTATCTTTTCACTTCTGTGTAACATCTACCAGACAAGAAATGAGACATTCATTTCAGGAGTGCAGAGCTTTCTTATTATTTATTGTTACTTTGTGGTTTAAATCAAATTATTATAGTTTTTTCCTTTTGTTTCTTGTTCTCCTTAAGGAACCTTTCCATTCACATAACTGATTCTTAGTTCTTTTGGACACTGGCAGTAATTTCAAATGTGGACAAGTGTCAAAAGTACTTCTAAAGTTAAAGGAGATTTACTGTTTTACATTTTCTCACATAGATAAAGTCATACCATCTCTAGTAAAAGTAATTTGGGTTAGATATGAATATTTCCTCAATGGGATCTTCCTCAATCCAAGAGAAATTCTGAAACAAATGCATTTTGTGCTATAGTTTAGCTGGGAGTGAGGCAGACAGCATTTTCTTCATACTAGACATAATAGTTCTCTGTGAAAAATTCTATCTGTCTTTGCCTTTCTTTTACCTGGAAAGAATGTGATGATGAGTTACAGATTTTTTTCCCTGAACTCACTGCATTGTACAGAGAGAACAACAGCATTTTCCATCAGGAGTCTGCAGAACCAGAATCTATTTTTACTTTTGAAATCCCGGCATACTTCTGAAGCCTTTTCATAACAATACTGAGCTCTTTTTTCATAGCGTTTTAAAGGTTCCAATTGGCCGGAGATAAAGAGATTCACTCTTCCTTTGTTATATATAAGGAGGACTTTAAAAGTAGTCATTACATTTTGTTATTTACTTGCTGGCTAAAACTCTACATTTTTTTCCTCCAAAAAATAATAACCCCAACATGTATTGCAAAATAAAAGGCTTGTCAGCCCCATCTCCATCTTCACCTTTATAAGTCAGTGCCATACCTGTTTTCTTCTTAAGGAAGTCCTTATGGACAGATTGCAATGGAAATAAATATCCAAAAAAAAAAGTTTTCCTAATGTTTGCATGGATCTGGTGACAGGAAAAATGACTGCTGTACTTCACAAGATCCATCCACAGGTTCTGAAGTAACTGGCAGATGAAGTTGCCAAGCCGCTATACATCATATTAGAAAGGTCATGGTGATGAAGTCCCCACTGAATGCAAAAGGGGAAACATAACTTCCATTAACAGGAAAGGAAAAAAGGAAGATCCGGGGAACTACAGGCCAGTCAGTCTCACTTCTGTGCCTGGCAAGATCATGGAGCAGATCCTCCTGAAGGTCCTATTAAGGCACATGGAAAATAAAGATTAGGTGATTGGTGGTAACCAACACACCTTCTCCAAAGGCAAGTCATGTCTGACAAATTTGGTGTCCTTTTGTGATGGAGTTACAGCATCAGTGGAAAAAGGAAAAACAACCAACACCATCTACCCGGATTTGTGCAAAGCGTTTGACGCTGTCCTGCATGACATCCTGGTTGCCAAATTGGAGAAAAATGGATTTGGTAGATGGGACCACTCACTGGATAAGGAACTGGCTGGATGGTCATACTCAGAAAGCTGTGGTCAGCAGCTCAGTATCTAAATGGAGATTGGTGACAAGTGGTGTTCCTCGGAGATCAGTGCTGGGATCGGTGCTATTTAACATCTTTGTGGGCAACATGGACAGTGGGATTGAGTGCATCCTCAGCAAATTTGCAGATGGCACCAAGCTGAATGGTGCAGTTGACACTCTAGAGGGAAGAGATGCTATTCAGAGAGACCTGAACAGGCTTAAGAGGTGGGCCCATGCCAACCTCATGAAGTTCAACAAGGCCAAATCAAGGTCCTGCACCTGGGTCAGGGCAATCCCAAGCACAGATGCAGGTTTGGCAGAGAATGGCTTGAGAACAGTCCTGAGGAGAAGGATTTGGGGGTGTCCATTGATGAAAGACTCAACATGAGCCAGTAATGTGCACTTGCAGCCCAGAAGGCAAACTGTATCCAGGGTTGCATCAAGAGAAGTGTGACCAGCAGGGCAAGGGAGATGATTCTGACCCTCTATTCTGTTCTCATGAGACCCCACCTAGAGTACTGTGTCCAGTTCTGGAGCCCTCAACACAAGGATATGGAGCTCCAATGCAGCAGGTCCAAAGAAAGGCCACAAAGATGATCAGAGGACTGGAGCACCTCCCCTACAAGGACAGGTTGATAGAGTTGGGGCTCTCCAGCCTGGAGAAGATAAAGCTCTGTGGGGACCTCATAGTGGCCTTCCAGTACCTGAAGGAGACCTACAGTAAAGCTGGGGAGGGACATTTTAAAAGAGCACGTAGGGACAGGACAAGGAGAAACAGCTTTAAACTGGAAGAGGATAGATTTAGATTAGATATTAACAAGAAATTCTTTACTGTGAGGGTAGTGAAGCAGGTTGCCCAAAGAAGTTGTGTATGCCCCCCTCCATGTAAGCCCAGGCTGGATGGTGCCTTGAACAACCTGGTCTAGAGGGAGGTATCCCTGCTTATAGCAGGGGGGTTGGAACTAGATGATCTTGAAGGTGCCTTCCAACCCAAACCATTTTATTATTCTATGATAATTAATTTCATTCTTTTTTTTTTTTTTTTTTTTTTATCCTAGCTGCATATATCCCACATACAGAATAAGAATAAGAAGGTTTAGATGCTCTCTGCCCTATAGCTGAGTAGTAATGGTACTCAGACAAAAGCTAAGCACTTATTCCTCAAATAGATGTACATCTGCATCCACACTTAGATGCCCAGGAAAAATCATGGTTCAAGCTACAGTTACCAGCAGCATCACCTCTCAAGAGAAGGCAACCCTTGAAGCTTCCCCAGCAGAATAATTTAGAAGCCAAATAGATCAGTCTTTCGTCTCTTCAGTTTCCATCTCTAACAAAGAACAGCAGTTCTCAGTGACCAAAGGTAGGGCAGGAGAGTTTCTCCAGTTTTCCTCTTTGGTACATTTTTCACTACATATGAAAATTGATGATGATATATTATATCAGAGCTTAAATTTCAATGTAGAAACTGATTTTTTTTTCTTCAAAACTGTAGTAAAGTCAGACACATTTGGATGATTTAATAGGGATGATTTAATAGGATGAGGGGTCTGGAGCACAAATCTTATGAGCAGCTGAGGGAGCTGGGATTGTTTAGTTTGGAGAAAAGAAGGCCTGGGGGAGACCTCATTGCACTCTACAACTTCCTGAAGGGAGCTTGTGGTGAAGAGGGGTTTGGCCTCTTCTCCCAGGCAACAAACAGGACCCGAGGAAATGGCCACAAGTTGTACCAGAGGAGGCCTAGTTTGTACATGAGGAAAAACTTTTTCTCTCAGAGGGTGGTCAGGCACTGGAATGGCTGCCCAGGGAGGTGGTGGAGTCGCCATCCCTGGCAGTGTTCAGAGGCGCCTGGATGAGGAGCTACGAGATATGGTTTAGTTTGTGGTAGCAGTGGTAATGAGAAGATGATTGGACTAGATGATCTTACAGGCCATTTCCAACCTTGTGATTCTATGATTCCATGATACACTTCTTATTCATCAGTTGGAAAATTATCATGGAAGACATGTTATTAAATATATTCTAAGTGGATATTCTCAAGCAAATTTCAGCTATCATGAGAGAGAAATTTATTACCTCAAAAGCATAATTTGATCCTTCTGGATGGATAATGTACAGACCACTTGGAGTTTTTGAAACTGAACCAATGGTATCTTTAATATCAGTGCAATCCAACCCTGGAGAATAAAGTATTTGATGAAGCTTATTAACACATATTTTTTTAAAAAAGAGCACAAATACAGCTTAAGTGGAGAAATACAAACTTTGTTGGGAACTTATGAATGATCTCAAATAGAGTTTCTTGTACAAATTTAAAATATGCATTTTCAGGAATTTACCTTACATACCCTCACCTTTGGGGAACTGGAACTAGATGATCTTTAAGGCCCTTCCAACCCAAACCATTCTATGATTCTATGGAATGATAACTCTCTGAGATCCATTAAGCTTGGAAAGAAGAATAAATTGCATTTTATTGAGAAAGTTTGTTCTAATCTTAACTGATATACAGCAAGTAAAGATTATATGATGGTTGCTCCAAAGCTAATGCCTCCTATTTTATAATGTTGGTACACAACACCAGAGATGGATGTTGGCGGGACGGCAGTAGAGATTGAACCTTCCCATCAATATTTCATTCCATTTTGTTGCTGTGCGACAGATGGCAGCAGAGGAGCAGTCTAACAAATACTGTCTGACATGGAAGTGCATATGAAGCAAAGGTGTGGAATTGAATTCCTCTTTCCTTGGAAAAAATGGCATCCATTGACATTCACTGATGTTTGCTGAACATTTATGGAAAGCAAATGGTAGATGTAAGCATAGTGAGTGAAGTGGTGTGTGGTGCATTTCAGCAGAGGTGACAGTGATGTGTTCCAGGAAGCCATATACAGTTTTCACACCACGAAATGAAGCGTATCTTGATCAGCTTATCTGCATGAGTTGGCTGATGGTGACTATGTTGAAAAATCATGTTTTGTAGCTAAGAATTTACTCTATCAAATAGTGTCATTGTACCCATTGTATCTGTTGTAGTTTTCATAGGAAGCATTACTTTCAGAGCAGCCTACATATATCCAGGTCTTATTTCATAGATTTGATTTGGTTAACATTTGTATAGAGTAAAAACACATATTACCCAGGGAAGGATGTCTTCTTCCTGCAAGTGTTTGCATTTGTACTCATAAAAGACTTTACATCACAATTTATATATATATACATAAAGTCTTTTGCCTAGTGTTAAGCTAAGTGTTTGTCAGACTCGAGTTTCTAAGACTGGAAGGACTGAAGAAGGTAATGTTTCCTGTAGCTGAGTTGGGAACTGTAAAGGATATGAACTGTCCAGTGCACAATTGACTTCTGTTTGGGTTTCTTTTTTTTTTTTTTTTTTTTTTTTTTTTTTTTTTTTTTTTTTTTTTGTTCTTTTCTATTTTTTTTTTTTTTAAGATATTGCAAATGTTGAGCACACTTTATTTCATTACAAAAGAAAGTGCTATTTAGCTACATTAAATCACTTAAGAACTAATGATTGTGCTTAATATTTTGCATAAATATCAACAAGATGCTATGCCCAAAATTATCCTCTTGCCAATTATTAACACCAGCCCTTTTATATAGTTCACTAATTTTTCAGATTTTATGTGTGCATTCTAGCACAGAATAAGTATAGTACATGTTATAACTGCTTACCTGTAATTTGTTCTTTGTTAAGATACTCTCAAAGATAAAACAAAAAAGCTCAAGACAAAATGTGGGAAATATTTACCATGAGATTGAACTGTTTTGTAAGGAAGTGGATCCAAATGCTTTCTTAAAACTTCTGCATTCAAAAGAAGAACTCTGTTCATGAGTTCATTCACCTGTAAGTTTAAATAAATATCTTAAAACAGGTTGCAGTGAAGTATTTTATATTCTAAGGATGGTCTTTTTGATTCCTAGTAAACAAAATCTGAAGGTCATTTTTGAGATATGTTAGTGATTTGTAACTTCATAATGTGAATTTTTCAGTTTTTTTATTTTCTGCATCCAAAGTCACTTTTAGGCACAACTCCAACTAGTTTGAGGAAAGCCCTTCAATTTGATTAAGGCTTTTTATTTATATTGAGCGAGTACAGTGTTTATATACCAGTTAATGATAATATAATGTCAGGTGCACAAGTACAACAGAGTTGCATACATCCACTTGCCCTACTGCCATATGTGCTACTAGGTCATGTGCCAGGTGGTGCTAATCGCCCCCTGGCCTCACCCTTTAGGCAGGGTACAAGACATCACTCCTGAAGTCAATGCAACAGAGACTCTAATCCTACTGTGTTAATGACAATGTAAATAATTAATTTTCCTCAGTTAGATGATAATCATAGTGCTAAATAATAAATAAAAATATTTATGATAAAGAAAAAAGTACCTGATTAGAAAGGTAATCCAAGGAAGACTGTTGATCATCCATCATGTTTCTTACCAGTTTTTTTGTGCTTCTTGCATATTCAACAAGAGAGCTCTGCAAATTTCCTTTAAAAGAAATATGTTTATTCACCTTGTTAGCACAAACTTAGAAATAGTCTTGATCAAATAATGACACATCTATTTGTGATATCTAAGTGAATATTAAAAGTGTTTAACCTTAGAGTGTCTAAGGTACTTAAAAGTGAAAGCAAAGTACAGAGACCAAAGATTAAACCCAAAGATGCTAAGAACTTCAGCCTTACAAATCATAAGATTTGATGAATTCCATCCTAAACTTCAGCTACTGGAATAACCAGTTAATGGATAACAGAGAAATTTAGATACATCTGAAAAAAAGGATAGATAAGTAAAGTTTCCTGCCATCCTGCATTTTGCGTATTCACTGTGCTATTTATTCAGGTTCCTTGTTTTGCCCTGATGCTAAAAATATAGAAATTAAACTTGCCTTGTAATCAATAATACATAATGAAAATCATATGGGAAAGACATATTTTTCTGAGGCTGAATAACATCAGTTAGTGTTTAGTTTTTCCAGGTGATGAACAGAGGATATGTCCTGCATATGTATCTACAAAAGGCAAGCTCAAGTACAGATTTCTTCCCACTTAATTTTGGACACTTAAGTACAACGTTTAAATAAGGAACAGACATTCAAGCCTTTCTCTCTAATGGAGAGAGCTACAGATATTCAGAGGATAACACAGACAGGGGGGATGAGCTACTTTCTGGATTTGCCTGTACCCAACAGCAATTATGAAGAGAAAGTAGCATGATTAACTTCATTGTCCCAGTTGCACACAGCATCCCAAATGTGAACGACATTCAGAGTGGGCAGCTCGGTCAAAGTCTGCCACATGTGCTCAAGAAGATTAAAAAATAAATTAGCACAGCATAGCATAGCGTAGCAGAGGAATGCATAGCATGGCATTGCATAGCTTGTTGTTTAGAGTATTCTGTATGAATACATACTGCACATATACTGTTTTTCCCCTCGTAAAATTTTAGCTTGAACATCACATGGTACAAGGCATTGTTCTTTTTGTTTTGAAATATCTGCAGATTTATTTTTCTCTTCTGCCTTGAGTGGTTCTTCCACAGCGCCAACATTCCTTGTGCCCTGTTGTACCAAACAATGGGGGGGGAAATAAATTGATCACAAACATATGTTAAACTGCTCAGTCTGCCAAAATGAAGCTGATGGATCTTCCTTTAAACCTGCTTTCTTAAAAGCTTTATAGCAATACTTGACAGAGCTGAGGTCAAGGCTTATTAGGCATCTTCTACTTAGCCATGTCTTGCAAGGGTGTCAGAAGTAGAGAATCATAGAATTATAGAATCATTTGAGCTGGAAGAGACCCTTAAAGGTCATCTAGTTCAACTTCCCTGCAATGAACAGTGGCACCTATGTCCTCCATCAGGTTGCTCAGAACTCCATCCAGCCTGACCTCCAGTGTCATCCATCATCTCTGGGCATGTAACCTCTATAAATTTTTAAAATACACCAAAATTTCTGTTAAAATACTCTGTGAGTGATCTGCAGGCCAAAAGACTTGCCACACCCAACATACATCTCAAATGCCCACAAAGTTATTTTCTCTGGAAAGGAGAGGGATTTGGGATTTACCACATATTACAAAAACCCTTTCACTCTGCAAAGTCTCCAAATTCAGAACTTAGAGTTTGTTTGTGGAAACAATTCCCCGAGTTATTAATCCAGGCACACAAGTAGTCTCAAACAGGTTTACAGACAAATCCAACATATAAAAAATATTTAAAATGTTCTTGCTGGGGAAAGTTTCAAGAGACACTATTTGCGGGGATACAATTATCTGAAATAATAACAATAAAAGCATCAGTAAAAGTAGTTTCATACTACCACACCTAATAATGTTATTTCAAAATAGTATTTTCGTATTTAACATTTTTTCTTCCATGTGCCATAAAATATGGGGCTGTCCCTGATTCATCACATAAAGAAATGCCGAAATAATCCCTGAAAAATCTCATTGCAAGAAGGCTAAGAAACACATTTTCATTTAAGTCTTTGTTTATTAATTCCATAATCTCAGCAAGGTACTGTAGCATGCTCATATACTGTCAGATGTAAGTAGGACCTTAGAAACTTAAAGATTCTAATTAAAAAGGAAACTTACTTAGTCTTGACCAAATTGACTATTTGTTCTCCTTTCCAGCTTCAGATTTCTCTTTCTGGTTTTGGCACTACACTGACAGAGCTCTGAACAGTTTATTCCTGATTTTTGCCTCTTAAAATTGAAAATAAATATTACATTAAACTGTTAACAGGCAGATTTAAAAAAAAAAAAAAAGTTTCTGAATTATTAATTTGATTGCATTTTGTGTCTAGAGAGGAATAAATGCTAGAGAACGAAAACAATATGTTTCTTTGATATTCAAATAAGCACAAAATAAAGGGAAAAAAAAGAACCAGAAACAGTTATAAAAAGACCAATTGAAACATATAAATAGATCACTCGAAGCCAAGTGTTGTTCTGGGCTTTATCACAGCTACCCACCAGCTGTTCAGTTAAGTAATGTTAAGAAAATACTTTAATCAGAATTAATTCTTTTTAAAGGCAAAATGAAACAGGCAATGAAATCAGACCTTGGGAATTCATGTCACAGGTTGGACTGTGCCTACAACAGGAGTTACTGTGTCTTTGCAGGGATGCAGATGACAGTAAAAATACAGCCCAACAACTGAACTGTGATAAAAGATGTTAAAACAAAAATGTTTTCTTGTTGTACTGAACTTCTACAGTTTCAAGGCACTCTTTTCTCTCTCTGAAAATACCTAATTCTTCCATATTTTCATGCCTATTCTGAATAAAGCAGTCTATTTCTCTGTCACTTTTCTAAGAAATTATTCAGTTACATTCATTACCTTATCTCAGCAAAGTAATTGAAAGTCTTACCTTAAATGAACAAGGCTTGACATCACTTATAACAGTTTCTCCCCAGCCTAACAAAAGAACACTAAGAGAAATTAATGAAGTTACCCTAAAGCGCTTCATCTTTTGCAGCAATGCAAATGTTTTGACGGCTTTCACATTTCTGCGGAAAGAATTGTACACTACGGAGTGCTGAGCTAACTATTCGGGAATGTGTACAGCACAAAGAGCAGCCAACACATCACTCCTTTAATGCCTGCATTTAATAAAACACAGCTCTGCTGCACAGTAGATTTATATACATGCACTGCGTGTCTCCTGAGAGCACTTCCTGCTCATTACCTGCACATGACACACCAAACATATCTTTGCACTGTGGTAAAAGCATGACAGTTTCTCACACAGCACTGGTATTTGTATGTGGTAGTGAATGATTTAGGCTCATTGAAAGAAAAAAAAAGGTATCAATTTTCAACTTTTTCAAAGGCTTTTATCATTAAACTGATGGTGTTTTCATTGGTGGGGTGGCAGAACACTAGATTTGGTTTATTTCCAAACCTCACTTTGTGCCACACCTCTGGGATATGTCATGTCTGAATCACTTTCAGAACTGTTGTATTAGGCACCCACGGGGCTATCGGGATGTGACGCAATGCCATAACATTCACAGCAACACAGAACAAACTCTTGCGTGTCACCTTAAACTAGCACAGCCAATGTCCTACGTTGGTCTCAATGCTGTGTTCCCCTCCCTGTCTGAAACTGGCATACACTGGAAATTGCCTTTAATAGAGATTTAAAAGCAGTTGCAAGAGGGGGATAAATTCAGTATTAAATCCACATATGATTCCATTTTTTTAACGCAATGTTTTGTTTCAAAATTGGTAGCTACAGGGCACTGAGTGCCCATAACTGGCCCCTTCCAGTACACACGTGGAAGTTCTCTGCGACGTTTTTAACAACTTCTGTTGGTCAGTATCTGATGTAATCAAATGTTTAATCTGTTCTGGAGTACTTTGTAGCTTTCCAAGGTAAGAATTCTGGAATGTTACTAGTGATTCAGTTGATGCCTGCTTACAAAGACGCAGGTTATGATCCATACTACAGTCTCAGGGAATTAAGGTGAAAAGATTTTCATTGCTAACTATATATGATACTAAGGAGGAACAAATGGTTTTCACTCCTCCTCCTATACAAAGAAGTAGGAAGAGGAGGCAAATTTCAGGAAGAAAATTTCAGGTTACAATGGGCAGAATCTTGGCTGAACTCTTCCCCTATACAGTTAAACTGAAGCTTGGAGGAAAGCTAAAGGGCATTAGCAGATGAATCCCCTCTGGAACAAGAAGGAAAGAAAAATGTGTTTCTGCAGCAGCATAGCTGTGCTCCAGCCTTCAAATCAGATTAAGATTTAAAAGTTGATCTTTATCCTTTACTGGAATATCAGCCTCTAGCTCACATTAAAATTTATGAAACCTCTTTCAAATCAGCTGCCAGAGTGGGATCTTCCATTTTGTAACCACTTGAGACTGGGCTGTTTGCTGTCCTAGAATAACCATACAGCTCTGCAGTACATGGTGCTCAGCTTATTTACCAAGAAAAGCAGCTAATGACCTAGAGGAGCTACAGAGTGGGGCTATGAAGAAGAACAAGGAGGAAAAGTTGTTAAAAAAAAAGAAAAAAAAAAAAAAAGAAAGAAAGAGAGAGAGACAGAAAGATTTAAAGACATTTTTAATATTGAATTTCAGAAGATGACTACAATTCAGTTATGAGTTTTGCTGGCTAAGGTCTAAATCTACCGTAAGCTAAGAAGTTTCAATTCTTTCTAAGCATGACATAAACTCAAATTTGGTAGCTGTTTCACAGCTATGATTTAGTCCCATCTGTATGGCTCTGATCTCAGTGAAGTCTTTTAAGGTACCCTTTACAGGCTGAGCGAGCTGGAGCTGTTCTGGCTGGAGAAGGCTCCAGAGAGAGCTGGGAGCAGCCTGTCGGTATCTAAAGAGGGACTGTAAGAAAGAAGGGAAGAGACTCTTTAGCAGGGTGTGTTGTGACAGGACAAGGGGAAACGGTTTCAAATTAAAAGAGGGGAGAATGAGACTGGATATAAGAAGAAAGTTTTTTATGGTAATGGTGGTGAGGCACTGGGATGGGTTGACCGGAGAGATGTTGGATGCCTCATCCCTGGAGACACTCCAAGTCACGGACGGGGCTCTGAGCTGTACACAACGGAGCTGCAGGTGTCCCTGTTCACCGCAGGGGAGCTGGACTAGATAACCTTTAAAGGTTTCCTCCAGCTCAAACGATCCTCGGTAAAACACTGCATTTATCAGACAGTCTGGCGTCTTTAGAGTGTGAAAAAAACTGCAGATGAGTGCTTGGAGGCAGAGAAGTAACAACCAGCCTTCTGCCTGCAACACCGGGCAAAGCGGTGAGTCTGGAGCAGTTCCTCTGAACTAGAGGTGAAGCGCTTCCATTCCAGCGTATCCTCTCCGTCTTAAGGCGGCAGAACTTTCCATACACAGATGTAGCTGATTCATTCCACGTCTTCCCCGATGTTCCCCCAGCGCCCGCCATGCCCCGCGCCGCTCCGAAGCCCAACCGAGGCTGCTCCGGACAAACCGCCGCCCCTCGGCCGCTCCCCGCCGCCCCGCCCCGTCGCGAAGGAAGCGGCGTCTCTCGTTGCTATGATGGCGGCGGTGCGGCCGCAGGAGCGCGCCGTGCCCCGTACGGCAGCGCCGGGGCGTTGCGTGGAGCTCGGCGGGACGGGCGGCGCGGCGCCGTGGCGGCGGCACCTCCAGCAACCGGCGGGGCGCGGAGCGGGCGCGGATCCGTGCGCGTATCCTTCCGCGAGCCGCCCTCAGGCAGCCTGCCCGGGAACGGCCGCCCGCTCCTCGCCGAAGGGCGCGGTGGGGCCCTGTGGGGACGGGGTGCGGGGCGGCAGTGTGGCAGCCGGCGTCCCCCCTCTCTCCCTCCCCTTCTTTTCTTTTTCTTCTGGATAGAAGAAAAACGGTTTTGATAGTGTGGGTCATAAGGGCACCGTCTATATGGTGAGAGGCACAGGTTGCCCTGAGAGGTGGTGGTGCCCCGTCCCTGCAGACGCTCCAGGCCGGGCTGGATGGGGCTCTGAGCACCTGATGGAGCTGCAGGTGTCCGTGTTCACTGCAGGGGGGGTGGATCAGATGGCCTTTAAGGGTCCCATCCAGTTCAGCCTTACGATTCTGTGATGCGTTAAAATGATTGTAGACAGTAAAATGTAAGTACATTTTTTTCCAGATGAACACTGAATGAGTTATGACCATAATACATATTTATGGGAGCAACTGTTGTGTGATTAACCAAACAGTCTATCAGCGTCTTGAATGTGATGGGATGAAGTTTGCCCTTTCCCGCTCACAAAGGTGCGTGAAGTCCATCCAGCAGCTTGTGCATCTGCCATGAGCTGCTGCAGGCACAGCCAGCACTGTCCTTAACACAGCGCCAGGGACAGAGCTTTAGCGTTTCCCTTGGGATGGGATTTAGAAGAGGAGCGCTGGGCACTGAAAGAAGATCAAAGGCTGTGTCGGAGCAGAGCGCGGAAGTATTCGATGGAGACCAACAGAAGGAGGAGGTGAGTAGCAAGGGCTGTTCTGTGGGAGGTCAGAAGAAGCAGAGTCAGAAGTTTGAGACAGGTCAGTGTGTTTTTACAACGTGCACATTCACTTTGCTTAGCAGCCTCACAGCTTTTCCCAGGCTTAAAAAATTCACTAAACCTAAAATAAATTATAAGGGAGCAATATTCTGAGCTGTTACTTGTTGGACCATATCCGCATGTTGTGGCTCTGTGCATTTATGTTACTCTTCCATTTTTGTTAGCTTTGCTGGGTTTGTAACAAATGAATTCAGGTATCCAGAAGGAGTCGGCGGGCAGGCAGCTGTCACTGCTTGCTGAAGTGTATGTGCTTCTGAGCACATGGAATGACAGTGCCTAGCCTCCCCTGTGGTGGGGCTTGGTGATCCCAGTTCCCAGTAAACACAGTGCTAAGCCTCTCTGGTAAAGAAGTATGTTTGTAGTGGAATTATTGTTTATTGACATTTTAAATAAAGTTTTGAATATCCAGCATTTCCTCATACATGAAAGCACAAAGTCATGAAAAATTCTATGACCCATGGGTTGAGTAAAATGTACTCTGAGGTGTTTGAGTGCAGTGGTGCAAGCAGTTGGCCTTTCCCTAGCATTCATGTGCAGGTGAGTGGCTTTGTATACCATACAGACGGATGGGCTCCTACTGAAGTCTTTTCAGAAGAAGCCCTCAGCCTCCAACCAACTTCTGCCCATTGTTAACTCCCTGAAACACTCCTCCCCCATAGTTCCATATCAGGTGATTTTTTTGTACGACATTTATTTCTTGAAATAGGATGACAGGATGATAAGATGATAAGTCATCAGGGGCAGCAGACAGTATTTGTACTGCTGTTTTAGCTTCACAAAAGATTGACATGCTGTGCTGTCAGCACACATTTTGAAATAAAAAGAAAAATGGAAGAGGAAGCATCATTTGGGTGTGATTAAAGACCCACAACCTTTGCAGATAATATACCAAGCCTCAGCTGAAAGATTAAATATCTTCTTTGGTTTTATGAAACAGCACCACTGTAGCACTACTCTTCTCAGATGAACACTATTTATCATATTACTGATCTTGAAATATTGTGCACTGATGGAAAAGCAAACAGCAGACAACCTCTGTATTTTTGGCAGACTGGAGTAGCTAAACTAGTACATGTTGATATATAAATACATTTCCATGTGAATTTCATTATGGCCTTAAGTGTATTACACAGTATAAATCCAAGTTACCCAGGTGAGTCGGTTAAAAAATTAGAAAATTATTTCCATTTGTGATATTTGAGAATAAGTATCATAAGCAGTTCAGATGGAAATCTGTGAGAACAAGTATTCTGCTAACTATAAATGAGGTAGTTGTCAAACGTTAGACAGGTATTAAGTGTATATAGTATTAATAAACTGTGATATATAATTCAAAACCACGAGCCATTGCATATATAGTGAAAAGTAATTTGGAAATTAAAAGTTTATTGAAATTGAATATTTTTTTCCTGAAAGTTATGCAGGTAGGAAGTTATTTGTCTTCTAATGGTTCAGCCATCAGGTTATGTCTCAAATCTGCTTATGAACTAAGAGCTATTATATGTTTGTAACATACTGTAAAAGTGCTAGCTATGATGATGGCTTCTCAAGGATTGTGCGATTTCCTTAAGCTCTGAGTTCTCACCTGGCAGAACTTATAGGCAAGCATCAGAAGTTATTCTTGGCACTGCTCCCTTGTATTCTCAAAACTGGAATTTCCTTTCAATGTATTTTTTTCTTTCAACATATGCAGCATAGATGGGTACTGTGTGAAATACTGCAATCTTATTGCTACTTCTAATCTTTGCACAGAATGGCTGAGGTTGGAAGAGACCTCTAGAGACCATCTAATCCAACCCCTGCTTAGGTTGCCTCAGAGCAGGATGCTCAGGACCACATCCAGGTGCCTTTGGAAGGTCTCCAAGGAGCAGACTTCACAGTCTCTCTGGGCAGCCTGTGCCAGTGCTCCATCACCTGCACAGCACAGAAGTGCTTCTGGTGTTCAGAAGGATCCTGTTGTGTTTCAGTTTGTGACCATTCTCTTGTCCTGGCACTGGCCACCACTGAAAAGAGTCTGACTCTTCCTCTCTGCACCATCCCTTCAGGTATTATTGGATATTGATGAGATCCCCCAGAGACTCCTCATCTACAGGCTGAACAGGCCCAACTCACTCAGCCTCTCCTCACAGGAGAGGTTCGCTAGTCCCCTCATCATCTTGGAGACTCTCCACTGAACTCTCTGCAGTATGTCCATGTACTGAGGAGTCCAGCACTTTACTGCAGGTGTGACCTCATCAATGCCATGTAGAGGGGAAAGATCACCTCCTTCACCCTGCTGGTAGTACTTTGTCTGATGCTACACTGTTAGGGTTCTTTGCTGCAGAGGAACATTTCTGCTCATATTCAGTTTAGTGTTCAGCAGGACTTCCAGGACGTTTTCTGCTATTCTCCTTTCCAGCTGGATGCAATCTAGCATATACTTGTGCCTGGGGTTGCTTGTCCCCAGGTGCAGGATCTGTACTTCTTGTCAAACTTCATGAGATTTCTGTCAGCCCATTTCTCCAGCCTGCTGAGATCCTTCTGGATGGCAGCAGGACCCTCTGGCATATCAGCCACTCCTTCCAGTTTAGTATCATTTGCAACCTTGCTTTGAGTACACTTTTCTCCATCAACCAGGTCATTTGTGAAGATGTTGAACAGGTCTGGACCCAGTACTGACCCCTGGGAAAAAGAGGTTAGTTTCCTGCAACCAGACTTTGTGCTACTGGTAACCATCCTCTGGCCTCAACCATTCAGCCGGTTTTCAACCCACCCTTCTGTCTGCACATCCAGCCCATATTTCAACAGCTTCTCTATAAGAATCTAATGGGAGACAGTATCTAAAGTCTTACTGTCTACCTTACTAGACTTATTGTCTTACTAGGTAGACAGTATCCATTGCTATCTCCTTATCTCCAAAGCCAGTCATTTCATCATAGAAGCTTGCCAAGTTGGTTGAGCATGATCAGATTTAAGGTCAGCCTTAAATTTACAAAGCCTCTCTTGAAAAGTAAAGCAGTGAATTTCCTCTTACAGACCTAGGGATTATATAGCAGAACCTCTGCTCTGTTCTCAATCTTGTTTTATGCACTTTTTAAGCTAATGAGAACTCCATATACAGAGAGGATGCAGTCTGAAGTCTTTTGTTTTCAAACTATTGACTTGTTGTCAATACCTCTAAAATGCAACAGCTTCAACATTAAAAATGCTCAAGTCCTGACAAGATGTTCTCAGTTAATTAATGTATTAGTGAAAAACAAAAGTTCACTTGCATATAAAAAAGCAGGTATCATTTTGGAAAGCAAAATCTCAGTAGCAAAAGTCAGAGATCTTCTTCAAGGTGAAGGCTTAAAGGAATCTGTGTTCATATCATATCTGATAGCATCAGTTTATTTGCTTCTTGAATTCTTGAATTTGTATTAACAGCAGCACTTCAACATTATGAACTAGCCAGATTACCTTTACACAAGTTTCCTGAGTTACAATAAAATCCTTCCTTTGTCGTCTCACTAATTGTCTCACTAATACATGAAGCTG